CCCTGCCCGTTACAAGACTTCAGAGAAGGCCTCATAGTGCTGCTGAATTATTTTAGGCAGCAAAGAAGGAGTGGGAACTCATCCCCCAAGAGACTATTGATGGTTGGATTAATAGGATGCTTGAGAGACTTCAGGCTGTACTGGATGCAGATGGTGGTCACACAAAATGATAAAATAGGGAAAGTTTTCTCTTATATTTCTTTTACTATCTATCTTTTAATTGAGTTGATATCTTTTTTTTTTTGAATTTCCAAATTTGCACTTGGTTGTGGTTGTGAGGTTGGTCCCCCCCCCAGGCGTGTGAAAACTTATTAGACACGAGTGTACATCCTGGCGAGATTGTTTTTTTTGTTTTTTTTGATACTGGTAGTTGTATTGGGCACCTGATCCATCAATTATATTTCTCCTGAGTTGGCCAATACCAGAGGATAACAAGGAAATAGAAAGCCGGTCATGGCCATATTTCGCATCTACTCGAGTACAGTACCACTTCAATTGAAATTTTTAGTTATGCACTCTACGGTATTTATACAAGTACCAATCCTTTATCCTTGACCCTTGTATTCCACCGGTGGACGCCTGTCACCACCGCCATTTTAAGGGTCTCCTCTAATATCTTTTCCCTTCCCCCTTTCCTTGTGTCCCTGTGTCCTTCTCTCTCTTTCTCTCTCTCTCCCTCTTGCTTCCGTACTCTTGCGCAGGCTAGCATCCGGGGTCCAATTTTCCGCCATCCGCCGAGTCAATGGCCTGCGATTGTACTCAGCCAGTTAACTCCTGTCATCGATGTCATTTTAATGGTTTCCTCCTCTTAGAAAGGGAAGTGAACCGAGCCAGAGAAGATACATGGGTCCAAAAAGTAGAAGACAACAATAATACGCACCCTTATCTTACTTATTTTCCTTCTCTTATATTAAATTCACCCTTCTTTGCTTCTCCCTTTGGCGCGCGCACACACACACGCTTCCTTTCCCTCTCCCCCTCTCCCTCCCATTTCGTCGCGTTTCTATGTACAATTGTAAGACCATTATCCTGTAGCATCATCCCCTTTCACCCTCCTCCCCCCAGGTTCTTCGATCTGCAGTGTCAAAGTTACACCTCCAGTCCTAAACGGTATCTGGCAGTACTTGTAGCAATCGGCAAGCAAGCGAAGTGTCGTAAAGCAGGGCAGGTTCCAGAGCGCTTTGCTACCAGACAACGCACAGCACGTACCACCTGCCCGCCTTCCTTTGCTCGTCAGGGCCCCAGGCGGCAGCAAATGAGAAATTGAGGCTTCAACTGTTCTCTCGCCTTTGCGGACATTCATACCCACGGAAATCTTCCTTTTTTTCTCCCCTCCCTCCCACCACCACTCACCTCCCCAACGGTCCCCTTTAACTCTCCCTACCGTACCTCCCTGCACTTTCTCTCCTCTTTACACTTTCCCCCCTTCCACTTCCCTCCTCCTCTCTTAATGAACCCATAGCCCTCTCGATCCGCCGGCGTGGAATTCCATTTTATCGTACAACCACCGTACACTATCGCATCCTATCCTCCCACCCAGTCCTATCTAATCCTTTCATAAGTCCAGGTGCGGCGGCGGCTGAGTTGTAAACACTAATTCTGCACATCACCGCTCTTAACGTGAAACCCTCCCTCTCCTGAACATCACCGTCCTGAACCATTTCCCACCCCTCTCTTCTCCAACCGTCACTGCCACCAGCCCCAACTCAACTGAAATCCGGGGCGGTATCAACTTGGAACTGATTAATCGCCGCACCTTTCCGTCCTTTTTTTCCTCGCAATTCACAGCACTGTTTGTCACATCTTCAGTATCCATTTCATTACCCGTCGCCCACATCTGGCTCGTCGTTCTTTTTCCTTCAATCCACACCAAACACTTAACACGCACACAACACTCCTACACCCCCGCTCCTTTAACCCACTTCCCCCTCATTCACGCCAAAGCAGAAAAAACAAAACAAACAAACAAAAGAATACAATCATCTGAAAGAGGTTATTCCTTTCTATTTGACATAGGTTTTGTGAAATTTGCCCTTTCGCTGGGGGTTTGTGTCATCGTGGCTGCACCTTTGGACACTCATCCCACTGAGCTGCAGTAGGGCGGCTTCTTCAGGAGAGGAGGAGGAACGGTGATTTGAGCCAGATATGGATTCCCCAGGGCTCACGCCTGGTTCGCCAATGTTTGATGACGATGACGAAGGAACATTCCCATGTAAAGGATGTGGAAAGGTGTGCAGGAATACCGATGCTACCATTGCTTGTGTTTTCACCAATTTTCTAATTTTACTGACATGAAATCGCAGATACTAGAGGAGGGGAAAGCTTTTGAACTATGTGAGTGCAACCGGGAAACAATTCTACCTTCCCTTCTCCTCTTCTCACTTTTGATCTTTCCTTGATTTCCTTACCATTACTCCCTTCACCATGACCTTGACTGATCATGTGGTAGCGGGAAACCGATGGCATATCGAGTGCTTTCGGTGCAACAAGTGCCAGACTTTGCTGGACTCGGATGCGAACCTGCTATTGCTGGGTGATGGCTCTCTCATTTGCAATAATTGCACGTACAGCTGCACAGCTTGTTATAACAAAATCGAAGATCTGGCTATCCTGACAGGAGATCAGGCCTTCTGCGCAGGGTGCTTCAGATGCCGGAACTGCAAACGTAAGATCGAGAATTTGAAGTACGCTCGGACTTCGCAAGGGATCTTTTGCATGAGCTGTCATGAGACGCTGATGGCTCGCCGGAGGAAACGAGGAAAGGTGCAGAAAACTCCGACAATGGGGAGTAATGCTCCTTCGCCGATGCTTTCTTTAGACAAATCGCTCCCGTCTTTGCCTGTTGAAGAGGATGAACCTCCCTCGGATGGCCACTCGGCAGCTCCAACGCAGCTCTCGCCTAGGCCTCGTCCCCTAGCAAATAGGACAACATCTTCAAAATCCGCCAATACCCCGGACCAATTATCTCCACTTGGGTTTTCAGCTTCAGGTGAACTTCTGGCAATTTGAGCTGTTGGTGATAGACCGCTAATTAAGCGGTAGGAAATGAATTACGATCAGCGCCTAGGTCTCACAGATATTCAATGAACTCGCAGGTATCGGAGCATTCAGCGGATGGTGCCGGCTATGATCCGTATTCTTCATTTATTCCGGTCGTCCTTGATTCTTCACCGGCGCCTCCGGCCTCTCTGCCAAGTACGGCCTACCGACCTAATAGAACATCCTCCTATGATCCCTACCTTCAGGAAAGATCTATGAGGGAACCTCCGAGTAACGTGAGGCCATCCTATGAGCGCAAAACCTCAGAGCCAACACCCTACCACGAAACCGATAAAAGTAGGCGACCACCGCACATCGCATCGCAGGAGAAGGTTCGCCAAACCCCTGGAAACGGGGACAGTACGGATATGGGGAGGAGATCGGGAGATTCTGATGGGAGCGGTGAAGATAAGAAGGAAAAGACATACTTCACCAAGGATCTAACATCAACTTATAGCTCCCCCTATATCTCACGGGAGTCATCCAAACAAGGACGCGATTCTGATTCTGCTAGTACCAAGTCCAGGAGCACTATCCTTGCTAAGGACTCACCCGCAAATGCGCAAGATCGGGGGGAGCACTTTAAGCTGGGAGAGGTACCGCGGGAGAGGAAGAGGTCGCTGGGCACACCAAAGGTCATCGATGGAGAGGAGCCAGATCCTCATGAGATATCAGTATCATTCTCGCCCATGGGTTTGGAACCTGCGCCTTCTGTGGCTACCCCTGAGATACCGCCTCGCGGGGATTCACATAACCCACCCCTTTCGCGTGGGAATTCTCCTGCTTCTGTGGCTAGGAAACCCGTCGACTCGGAATCGCCTGTTTATTCGGCTTCTTCCTCTGGACATTCACAGCGCTCCCATGGGACATCCGGATCCAATGCTTCCGCAATTACAGCTGCTGAATCACCTGAAGTTGGACTAGGAGCCAGGGATACCGCCGATGCTAAGCCACAAGGGATCAGGATTAATACTACCACAACTGTTAGTAATATTACCTATCAGCAGGATCCTACTTTCTCAACCCAAACCACACTTGACCAGAGACCAGGAGCCCCACAGCACCCGTCGACTACGCGCGCTTCTGCTTCTTGTAGTTTTAATCCACAGGGGGAATCGGCGGGTTCAGATGGGTCGGTATTGCCACCCCCGTTCAAATCGCCCGTTAGCGATCTGAGTATGGAGGAGGATATTGCAAGGGTTTTTGGTGGTGGTGATACATCGGCATCCATACTTCGACGAGTGTCGAACGCCGTTAGGCATGGGAGAAGTTTTAGTGATTTGGCTACCAGAACGGGATCGCCCCCTAAGTGGCCAAGGTCACCGAGTGGAGGGGATCCCGGATATCTTTCGTTGGAGGGTGATATTACTAGTCCGACGTCGTTAGGCGGGAAGGACGATACCCTAGCCCTAAAGCACGAACTTCGGCGTTCGACGCAGAGAATCGCTGAGCTTGAGGCCCGGCTTAACGTACGTGACTAAGGAATTTCTATCTTTTTTGCTTTTTTGCTTTTTTTTATACTGACATGTCAGCAGAGCACTGCCTCAGCGAAAGTGCTGGATTCAAATATCGCCGAGAAGAGAAATACTGTGGCTTTGTTGGAAACGGAGCGTGAGGCGTTTTTGCGTGAGCTTATGGTAATCAAGGAGCGGGTGGACGCTGCTAAAGATGGGTATGTGTCCCATGGATTATATGTGAGATATCGGCTGACATTTATTAATAGACAACCTCTTAATATGGAAGAGCTGAAGTCTGACCTTATCCACGGATTGACTCGGGAGTTGGAGGATCTAAAGATGACTTTGAAGTCAGAGATTCAAAGCCTCGTGGCCCAGAGGGATCAGTTAACCGAAGAAGTGGAAAATTTCGCTCGCCTTAGAGACCAGGCTATACAAGATACCGAGCAGCTTAATTTGAAGAATGCGCAGCTTGCTGACTTAAACAACGAGCTTACCCGACGCATCCAAGGCCAGTTTAAGGCTAACAAAGCACCTGTCAATGGGTTGGGTATCTATACTGGCAATGCCGCGGACTTGCTTGATACCAAAGACCAAAACGAAAAACGGCCTTCTACTGCAACTTCGACGTCCGTATCGTCTAATATGGTGGGCCAAATCAACGACACCACGCACATCCATCATCACCATGAGGCTACCGAAGTCTTTACCGCTCAGAAGGTTACTTCTTTGAAGAATGGACCGCAGATCAAGAAGACCTTCTGGAAGAAGGGAGGTGCTGTGATGAAGGGAGCTGGAAAGGGTGTTAACAAGCTGTTTGCAGGTTCTGATCAGAGAGAGGGTTGGCCCAGCGATCATCCCAATGGCGTCGATTCGCCCGGTGGCTTAAAGCCTGGAGGGCCTGACACACCCGGGGGTAAAATTTTCGGCACACAGAAGAAATGGATGAAAAATAAGGGGGGCCAAAACGGTCTCGGCGCAATCGGATCTAGTACTACTATTAGCGATGGTGTACTCCCACTCTTTGGAACAGATCTCGAGCAACGTGCCGAGTACGAAGGCAACCGCATCCCCAACGTCGTCCAGAAGTGTATCCAAGAGGTTGAAGTCCGTGGAATGGACTTTGAGGGTATTTACCGTAAATCTGGCGGTGCCTCGCAAATGCGCCATATCCAGGAGGCCTTCGAGCGTGGGGACGATGTGCCTTTTGATAGCAATGTTGATATTTGTGGAGTTACAAGTGTCCTAAAGCAGTACTTTAGGAACTTGCCTAACCCTCTGCTTACTTACGACATTTATGAGCGGTTTGTGGACACTACTAGTATGTATCCCTTGCCCTACGAACCCAATACAAGTGCTGACATTCCAATAGCCGTCTTCGAGGAGGAAACCCGCATAAAAATTGTCAAGGACCTGGTCGACGAGCTACCCTCTATCCATCGTGATTGCCTGCAATTTGTTATTTTCCATCTAGCAAGGTTGGTTTTTTCTCCGTACCCCAACTTCCGTAGATACAACTAACACCTTAACAGAGTTGCTGCCCGAAGAGATGAAAACCTAATGAACTCCCGCAATCTAGCAGTAGTCTTCGCCCCAACCCTCCTGCGCTTCACCAGCGATGAGCGGGAAATGACAGACATGCACGCGAAGAACAACGCCATACAATTCCTCATCGACCACAACGAATCCATTTTTTAGTGAATGAAATTAAAAAAACGAATCGAATAACAAAAGAATGGGTACCCCCCTCCCCTTAGTTTTTTTATCCCTTATTTAACCCGACCCCTAAACTTCCGCCTGTATTTTTTTTCTGTCATCCATCATACCCTTTCTTCCATTCGTAAGGTCTTGCTTGCGACCTGCTTTGCTTTGCCAGCTTGTATTGTGTATGCGTGAGCGGACAGGGGCGTTATCCTTTGTTTCCCTTTCCTTTCCCTTTCCCCTTTCTTTTTGGAACGTGGTGAGGTATTAATTCCGTGGGCCCCGTTATCACCTGCTTGCCCGTTATTACTCAACTTGCTCTACTCTATTCCACTCCAATGTACTGTAGGTGAGTAATGTGCTAGCTTTTCTTTATAGCGCAGTAGTCTCAATCAGCGGAAACCGTTTTACGTTTCAAGCACGCGTAAGTGTTATTCATCTTGGAGGCAGAAGCGGAGGGGGGGACGGATGTCATTTTTCTATACTCTCTTTTCCATATTCCACTATTTTTTTTATATTTTTTTTGCAAGGTTCATAGATGGGTCTTTATGGGATTTCTGTCCCTTTTTATTTTTTCTTGTCTACTGATAGTTGATGGATGGATGCAGCGAGGGAAGGGAGGAATTGCTTGGCTGCTTAGTCACCGTGTAACGAGCCCATAGACTGGGCCGTGCTCTGTATAAATTACCACTGCCGCTACCACAAATACCACTCCGCCTTCTGAGAAAAAGCTAACGAAAATGCCATTACCCTCACAAGCAAACAAACTTTTGTGCACATATCGTAGCCCCAAATCTTAATTAAAAAGTATCGTCGAGGGGCCCCACATCCCTAACCACCGGCGGACTACTACTCCCCCCGGTAGCTCCACTCTCGTCCGCCGCGCCAGCAGTCTGCAAGATGTCGTGCACAATCCTCCGACTAGCCTCCCTCGCCGGCGTAGCCAGCAACTTGGAAGGCGGGAGTGAGAATTGAATGGTGACGGGGGGGCTCAAGCCAGGCGGTAGGTCCAGGTCGTCATCGTCATCGTCGTCATCGTAGCCGTACGCGAAGCGGTCTTCGTCGTCTTCTTGGTGGTGGGTGGTTGTTACTTTTGCGGTGCCGTAGCGTGTTGACGTTGGTGTCTTGGGACCGCCGGCAAGGGTGGTGGTGGTGTTGGTGTCGGTGGCGGTGCTCGGTTTGGGTTTCTTACCGCCACCGAAGCCGCCGAAGCCCGGTATTGGAGAAGAGAATATGTCCGTGGAGTAAAAGTGTGGTTTTGGCGGAGAGGACATTGGGGATTCAGACCCCGGCGGGGGTAATATCTGGGCTTTTGGCGTCGCCGCCGCAGCGGCCCCGGTTGCTCGATATCGTGAGGGAGGGGGTTTTCCCAGAGGCGTCGCTTGCAAACGCCAGTTCTTGTCGAGCACCCGGTGGAGGAGCTGGTCTTCGTTCGCCCCACCTGGCGTCCTTTTCCCGATGGCCCCGGCGGCAGCGTAGAATAGTGAGGATTTGGGTGTCTCGAAGGAGTCTTTCGTTGGACGGGTGCGCCGGGATGTTTGAGGGGTTGTGGGGGGAAGGGTGGGTTCATCAAAAGTCGTGCTTGCGAAGGAGTCATCGTAGCCGGTTGCGCCAACGGCAGGAGCAGGAGCGGTATTGGTATTGGTGTTGGTGGTGATGGGGGAGCCGTGCATGGTGTAGTCCTTCCCGACCAATTCCTTGCGCAGTGCATCGAATGGCGACTCGATGTCCTCCCATTGCGTCTCTGTGCCATGGGGTTGCTTCCCCTTGGGTGTGCTCGCTCCACCTAATCCTCCTGCTGTCAAGTTTAACGAGTCCAATAGCGAATCGTCCAGCAGGTAATCATCGTTGTCCTCGTTCTCCCCGGGGCCACGGTGTCGGGGGTCGTCTTCCTGTGTTATTCGTGTGGACTGCTCGCCGTAATTCCCTGGAGAAGAGGCACTTATATACGTCTCTGCACTGGTAGTCACGCCGGTTTCTTCATAGGTCTCCTCTTCCTCTTGGTAGTTTGATAGTGCGACGTTAGCACTGGCCTCGAAGAATTGCTTCCAGAACTACACTTCCCCACCACAATTAGCCATTTATCTCCACTTCAGGTTGATAAGTATGGGGGAAATTACCCTTGACCCCTCCCAAACAGCCTCAGACTCCTTCGCGTATCGCTCAACAATAGGGATGATGCTAGTCGTGACAATCCGATGGGCTTTACTGAAGTTATGATCGATTTCTGCCGCAACGCTCAGTCCACTTTTCAGAAAGTAAAGCGGAAAAGAAAAAAAGAAAAACAGTAAAAACCTTGTAGCGTAAGCGTAATACTTTGTTCCAGTTTTTCCAATTCCGCCGTTAAGCTCAGCGGCGGCCTCCCCGACATCTTCCTTGCCTTGCTTTTTCCTGTTTTGGTGTTCTTCACTCGGCTGTCGTATCACGATAATAGAGGGGGCAACAAGGTGGGTGTTGTGGGGGTCAAGCTAAAAAAGATTTGAAAGTGTAGAATGATGACTAATCACCAGTTTGAGTTATGATTATGATACCAAGCTTGGGAGCTTCCAGAGAACCAGATGAAAGAACGAAACGCATTCCCGAGCTCAGCTTAACTTTAACCTTACCGCCTACCACACCTGCCCACCCATCTACTCGTATCATACCTGCCTCCCTCAAAGACAAGCAGCTGCCGGAAACCATCCACAGACCATCAATCACAGCGACACGATAGCAAAACACGATGGCAGACAGACTATCCCAGCTTCAAGACGCTATCGATCAGGTACTCCCCCCCCTCATCCGTCCATCTCCGTGTACACGCGCAACTCTACCCCTCCTCCTTCCAGAACTAAGCTGACAAAAAAACCCAACCCCAGATGGCAACCCAATTCTTCAGCGCCCTTCGTTACATCGGTACCCATCACGACGCAGTACCCGTCGGTAGCGAAGCGAAAGTCACCGACGATACCGGCATTGCCCCCCCTTCTTCCCCATTTATCCACCGCTAACACCCAATAGCTGTTATCGACGACAAATCCACATTTGACGGTACCCCCGCGCTCTCTCCCCGACTTCCACGAAATGCAAAAGCTAATAACAATAATTCCTACAGCCGCAAAGGTCGAACTCGCCCGTGATTTAATATTCAAATCCAAGCAGATCGAGTTCCTGATCACCTCCCTACCGGGCATTGGCGTTTCTGAGGACGAGCAGCAGGAGCGGTTGAAGAATTTGGAGACCGAGTTGAAGGAGGCGGAGGAGGAGAGGTGTAGGGCCGTGCGGGAGAGGGAAAAGGCGGCGGAGGATTTGGATGCAGTTATTCGAGAGTTGAGAAGGTTCTGAGCCTGTTGGAGAGGAGGACGAGAGGGGCCTTTCCTTTGTCGGATATTGTAGGGGGGTATATCGAGAGCTACAATGCGCATTGGAGGAAGGGATTACCGGCGTTTTTCTCCCCTTCAACTGGGAGGATACCCTTTCAGGTACGATGGGCTGTTTCTACTTCTTGAGCACGAAGGGCTCCACGTTTTGCAATAGGTTGGAAGTATATGGATGCTAATTTGCTAGCCCCGAGCTTTTTGGCACTTTTTAGCTTTGATAACGGTATGGAGACGGCATTTTACTGCCAGAAAGTATTAGCGTGTTAGTATATAAGACAACATCATGCTGGGTCACTCGGCCCTCAATGCCCCTCATCTCTTTCGTCCCTCCTTGACCTTTTCTCCCTCGCCCTTCCCCGTTTCTGTATAGTACCCTGTCATCTCTAGCTTCAAGAGCAGCATTGAGAGCAAATTTCCTTCCTCCTTATAGCCTCTTCCAAAGATCGCATCAACAGCTCTTCTACCCTCTGAATCCTTCTTACCATCGCTGTAACCCCTCTTCTCACTTAGCCCCCTACAAACACTAATGAATATACCAACTCTTCTCTTGAACCCGGTATACAGTGCTGGGATTCCCTCATCATCGCTGGTTGGAGCCCCAACGGATTTGTCGTGTGAGTACTTTGCAAACGTGAGAATCGAGGCGAATATATCCTCCATAAGCTTCATTACGGGTGCCTGGCGCTTTCTAGAGAGTGTCGCAAACATTATCCTGTCAAGTATACTCTCGTGGTACACTCGCAGCCTCTCGATCCCCTCTGTTCCGAGATCTGGATCAGGCGAGTCTAGCTTCCTTTCTATGTCCTGGAGTTTATCTTCAAACCTTCGCCAGGCGGACCGAACCCCTGTCTCAAACATGTAACTGCAAACAGTGTCCACAAAGTGGTGTGCTTCGATCCGGAATTTCTGGGCGACGGGATCTACTGTGTGCCAGTGGCTGGCACGGGAAGTTGCATCGCGAAAGAGCTTATTTGCCACGAAAAGCATGCGTAGGACTCGGAGCAGTAGTTTGAAGAGTCGATCATACTGATACAGCGCTGTCGTAGTAATAATAGCATCGAGTGGAGAGGGTGGTTTGTATTGTAGCTTCAGGAAATCCAGCGCCTCTAAGCCGTTCGGGTCCATACATCTCTCCAACTCCTCCACTGTCATATCTCGAACCCCAAAACTCAATCCTCCCGGTAGATCGCCGTCTTTGCCGGCATGATGTATCCCACCTTTGGTTTGTGAGTTGTTGAAACTTTCGTTGAGAACTCCCATTAATGCTAAACGCAGTTCGGAGGACGCGGGAGGCCAACTATCCCTGCTTCCTAGCTTCAATCCCATAGTCCCTCCAGTTCTGTGAATCCCTCCACGTTTCTCTGTTCCATCCAACTCATCGCCGAAGAGTGCGTGGCTAAGCCTGCTTGAGTAAACGCCATCGCCAAACAACTCGAACTTTCGGAGAAGAGAGAGGTGCTCTCTAACTTTGTGTTCCTTGAAAAACATATTAAGGCAGGCAGTATTTATGATCTTTGCCTGGACGGAAAATATATGGGAGAAGGAAAGAACGGGGGTTATGGATATGGGAGGTGCAAATGTAGTTAGGTGATCGTGCTCTGGATCAGAGCTTAGCTCTGAACTTGATATTTTGAGGACAAGAGTGCGCAGTAAATCCTCTTTGTGTAGGTGCTCGATGGGGGGAAGAGAGTTATTCATGGCGGAGACGGACTTGTCGATCATAGCACCTATCTCCTCTTTGGATTTTCCGAATGTTTCAAACGCCTCAATACCTCCCGGTGCCGACTGGTGATTTCCAGCTATGGGAGCAGTTGCCACTGGCTCCTGCATAAAATACCTACCGATAGCCGATCGAAGCTCCCGCTCATAGTGCATTGCTTGACTCTGTAAGCTATCGCTTCGTCAGAAAGGCGTGGCTTCAAGTCATGATAGGCATCGCTTTACTTATTTAAGTCTTCCCAGGAAAATTTCCACTCCAGCTTTGGTGCCCTTACACCCTCTACAGCCCTGGGTCGCGACAGTGGGTGGTTTGGGTGAAATTTCTGCAAAAACCGTAGAGCTTTCCCGCTCTCAAAAACAGATTCTCCGCTCTCAGCACTCATGAAAGATGGGACTTTCGCTTTGTCGAAAACCTATGGATCGTTAAATCGTCGCGAGGCATTCGCTAGAATGGATATCCAATTCTTACAAAGTTTCGATTTGTTCGCTCCGATCCCCTATCGTCCACGTATGTTTCTTCTTCAATTCTCACAAAAAATCCTCTCTCCGCAAGTCCTTTAAACCCAATACCTTCGCCTCCTGCTGGTCGGCCGAGGCCTATCCACTCCTCAATAAACTCCAGCCAGGGCCGAGTAGCCCTTGCCAATGTTTCCATCAACAGGGATTTCAGCCATCCACTTCGATGCTGCTCTTGCTGGACTACTTCAAATAGCGCAGAAAGTAGCCGGGAATCGTCTGATATACCAGCCGTTTGTGAAATTATTTGATGGAATGTATCGATGATGAGCGCGGGTTCACGCATGAGAGAGTGGAGGTGAAGAATACTACTGATAGTTGTGGGGTTAACGGAGAGCCTTTGCTGAATTGATTCAACTACTGCTGTTGTACAATCCGCTAATGCTATGATGGAAGGCTTGGCTGATCTTTTGCATGTTGTTAGCCTATCATTGAACCCAGGGAAATAGGGTATGGTAAGCTCAAACCCCAAGTCTTCGTGGATGTCATCGACAAACTTTTCGAGTTGTTTGGTTTTCTTTCCGCAGTCCGCGAAGGATTTTATGATGCTTCCGGCGTCAGAATTAGTCTTACCTAGAGTCCAGTTCGACGAGAGCATACCTATCAACTGTCCCAGCTGTGCATCCGGATATCCGAAATTGTGGTGTTATAGGAAGGAATTCATCCTTTTTCCGATCGTACGCGAATAGCACTGAGCTTCTGCCGAGACCAAGATGTAGAAGGCACTGCATAGCAAGTATGTGTAAGCTTCTCCCAATCCCAAAAGTTGCTCGTCTCTAGGCTACAAACAGTGCAGAAGACATCCGAGCGCATAACTTTGGGGACTTCCTCAGATCCATCATCCATGTACTCCGTAAGAACCGCATCGAAAATTCGAGGACCGGCTTCCGAAAGGTAAGAATTGACAGGGTCGTTCGCCCCAGCAGAGAGAAAAGATTCCCACGTTTGAAACCGTGGCTATTGAGAATTATTAGTTACGGGCTCCTATGTTCGATGGAACTACACAAACCTTCACCGGAGGTTCAGAAGATCCGGGTTGAAGCCATATATCTTCGCTAGTGCCGGAGGAGCTCTGTTTTGTAGCTTCCCCGGCTGTTGAAGCAATTGAATCTACCTCTGTTGCGGATCCAGGATCGGGGTCGGCGAAGTGCTCGGCGAGACCACGGTCGAAGGTGAAGAGGTTTACTTCTGATTCATCTTTGTAGGGATCCAAAGGTTTGGTAATATTCAGGACGGTTTCTGTTGGGGCTCCGGTTAGTAATTGAGGTGCAAACAGTAACAATTGACAAGCTAGAGAGAGACCTTGAAGCGGGGCAATAGGGAACAAGGTGGGTTCAGCAGAGTCGTCCAAGCTAAAGAGTGAAGGCTTCCACAAATCCGGAATGGTAAAGGGATATCCCTCCTTTTCTTCCTCCCCCTTCCTTCCATCCTTCCCAAATGGGCTGGGATCGAGAAGGGCCGCAGAGAAGTGTGTCATGACAGGTTCTCGTCAGTCCAAAGGAGGGAGATGCTGAGATCCCGAATTGCCCCATCTCTAGGACACTATTATGCCAAGCCCACGAAGAGCCTCACACCCCAAGCTCGGCGCATCATCTCCTGCTGCAACCGAAGGCTTGGTGCCAGGTGCTCTTGGCCCTCCCGCTTCGCGCCATTCGACTGTCTTTACACTAACCACCATTGACGTCTACTCCCACAATCATGCCTCCGAAAAAGAAGAATAAGGGGCGTCACGCCGCGGCAGACGACGACTCCCCTCCTGTCCCGGAGCCAATCATCTTTGATGGCTGGACCGACGAGCAGGAGACGACCCTGTTCAAAGCGATCGCTGTTTACCGTTTAAAGCCCGCAGGTAATTAGCTGCGCGACACGATCGCATTCCACTCGTCTAATAGGAATGTCGTATAGGGGTACACAAGCACTTTCGCATAATCGGCATCGCCGAATTAATGAAGAACCATGGAGTCTCCGACACCCATACCAACATCGAGGGCATCTGGCGCAAGCTAAAATCGCAGTATAACCTCGAGGGTTTGGACGAGCGCGTACGTATTACTACTCTTTCACCTGTATTCCGAAACTGAGATTTGTGGACAGGAGGACATTGAAGACGATTTGGACACTCCGGATCCCTCGAGCGAATTTGCGCTTCCGGCCGACGAATACGGGGCACTCATGTTCTCCCGACGATCCGACCCCAACAGTATCGACAGCCCACTTACCATTGTTCCCCAGACTTTCTGGGCGACCGGGACGAAGGGGAAGAAGGGCGGGAGAGGCGCGCGAAGCGAGTCCGTTGTTTCGGGTGCTAGGACCGGAACTGCTAGTGTCAATCCGGACGAGACGGAGGATGGTGTGGTATATTTCTACAGTCTCCATGTTCCAACTTCTAACCTCAATTGTGATACCACAGAATCCATGAGATCAGCCTCTCCGGTGCCTACCAAGACCAAGAAGAGCGCTGCCAAAGCCGGCACCCCATCGACTTCTACGACCACCACCACCGCCTCCCGGCGAAAGCCCCCTGTCAGAAAGAAGGGTTTGGTTGCCAAAGCTAAACCCAGTCCTAAACGGAAGCCCCCCGCTAAACCCGCTTCTAGTGAAGAAGAGTCGAATGCCTCCGACGATGAACTCTCCGATTTGCCCGATGACGTAGACGGTGACGAGGGCGCAGGTACCGTCGGAGAGACCGAAGTTGGCGAGGAGGAAGAGCCGGAGGCGGCGGCGGAGAGTGAGACGGGAGAAAGTACCACGGCCGCCGGCACTCCACCACCGGCCCCGAAGAAGAGAGGGAGGAAACCAGGATCCAAAAAGGCAGTTCCTCCCCCTCCAAAGAAAGGTGCCAAGAAAGGGGATGTCAGAAGGAGCTCGAGGAGGAAATAGTACTGTTAGTTTCGGGGCTCCTCGTATGGGGGGGTTTTTTTTTCCAGTCTGGGGTTTCATTTCCCTCTTTTCCGATAGGGAGTGTTTTCTCTGCTGTGTTCTCATCAACGCAGCCGGTAATCCGTGGTCCCGGCTACCTAGATGTTAATTCCTACCAGTGTTGTTGTCGGGTTGGGGGGGTACGATATGTGTGTAGACACGACACGATAGCGGACTCCATGTTTCTTTTCTTTTCTTTTCCAATTCTCACTCATCCTTTGCACTTGTACTATCATAGTACTACTAGTATGGCAGCTAATATACCTATCATACAACCGCGCTACTTTGTATCATAGCAGAGGATCATATCAACTCAGAGCGCGGGTGATACCCCATGACCGCACCAACCCACTCCTCCAAAGTCACGAGCACAACGTCACACCATAACAATATATATCTTAGATCTCAAATCTACCCAGCAACCCCGTACATCAAATCCCACCACTACTCTCATCAAAACGAAGCCTTCACCGCGATCCACGGATGAATGAAAACCAGATGCTATGAATCATAGCCACCGCATCCCCACCCCATCGTCATCACCATCACCGTCGCCATTACCATCACCCATCTACAGTACTGTACAGCGCCCGTGCGAAAACCCCTCTTTTCCCCCACAACCAGCAGCCAGCAGCCCCCACAGCGGCATCAACGTCACAGCAGCGGCGATGTGATGTTGACGCTAGCTCTGATGGTTAGGGACACGCCCAGCCGGTGGGGTAAACGAAACAATCATCCCGTCCCCCCCCCCCCCCTCGAATCTCCAACCAGTTATGATACCCAGTCAATTTGAGAAGTTCACTTCCTTAGCTTGGACGCGTACCCAAATGCCACGCCACGCCAGGTTGGATCCCCGTGGGGGGTTGGGAAAAGAGCTGAGTTGTTTAGCGCCCGTGCGCGCCGTCGTCGTCGCCGCCGCGGTATGGAAGTGCTGTTGGTAAGGCGAACCAATGCAAAAAGGGAGGGGAAAAGAATAAAAAATAGCGGGAGGACGGGGCGGTGATATCCTAAATCCGGGAGGGATGAGGTGGTGGTGGTGGTGGTGGTGGTGGTGGGGATTGGCCGATTTATTATGGCAATTGTATATTCTCCGTAATTTGGTTGATTGATATGGATGAAAGTACTTGTGCAAGTACAGTACTCGCAATATATCATAGTCCGGGGAAAAAAGGCATATGATACTTCCTCCCCGCTGTACTGTACGTACAATACAGTATATCATACAGCGGGGGTTTATGTCCGGATATAGTACCGTACCAGTACCCTGCCTTCTTGCCAGTTATTTATTATATATAGGCGATCCAATTGAACCCACCATCTCGCCCATGATCTCCCCTCCTTCCCTCCTCCTCCTCCTCCTCCTCCACCTGTAAGGCCGTTAAGGCATCCAAACTCGCGTGGCGGACAATATCAATCAATCGATCAATCAATCAATCAATCCAGAATGCTACCCAATCTATCGAGAAACTTATTCCACCATATGATACCGTTATAAGTGAGCGAGTGAATGAATGAGTGAGTCCTTTTTTTTTTTTTAACCGCGGTCCGGTCATAACTTTATCGAGTATCGTATCCAAAGTATTGAGGAAATTGGTTGTACAGTACTTGTATGCTATGATATACTTCACCGTAGGGCTCGATCGACTGCAGGGAGTGAATGACGATGGTGATGGCGGTGATGATGATGATGTCGATACGGTAGAGGTCCGAGAGTTCGGCTTCCTGCCAGAGTTTGGCGTTTCCGGGGTTGTGGGTTCCTGTGTTAATTATTCCTTCTTTCTCTCTCTCTCATCCTTTGTTAGGAGTATGTTATCAAAGTAGTAGTAAGCAGAGAAACGCCTTAACGTAGGACAGAAGCCTTTTTTTTTTCTTTCTATATCCAAGAGTGGCAAAAGTAAGGTACTGTATGAGAGTTTCTGCCAAAAGAGTTCAACTGTTCATCCACTTTTCCCGTCCGCACGATGAACTTTTCGTTGTTCTCTCTCTCTCTCTCCTCGCCGGGTTATCACATCCCCTCACTCGGTCCGTGCTTTGTCCGTGTGTGCGTGCGCTATGATATATACTGCATGACACGATACAGTACTAGTACAGCACTCTACCAGTATCCGGTTATGCACTGGACTGTACTCGTACAAGTACGGTACCGTACGTCTGTTTGTTCTGTCCGTCCATCCGTCCGTCTCCCTATCGTATCGTCCCGGGAAAACCAGGAATTCCTCCACGACACTCATTTCCCCTTCGCCCTAGGAATTTTATCCTGTTTGTAGGGGAACCCCCCACCGCAGAAGATAAGATATCGGCCTCCCGCCCCGTGAATCTGTGTGCGCGGTGGTTAAGGGAGCGATGGAGTTCCCACCCCCGTTTTCCCCCTTCACGCGCAGCAGGTGGGCAGGTAAGTACCGTAGGCAAGGGTTCTTCTACCCGTACCGTATGATACTATTATAAGCTTTCGTCCGAACTTCCCTACAGTCAAAAACGAGGCGAAAAGCCAACGACAATGACCACAACAAAAAACAAAAAATATTATTATTATTATACGGGAATCGTCACGTCAACCCCCCCTACCCCCCCAATTCCGTTCATGAACCTTCCTCCCCAGATCAGATATAACCTGCATGTATAGATTTATTATCCACCCCCATTCAATCTAATTCATTCATTAATCCTATAATTTTTTATTTTATTTTTCTCTTTAAATCCACTCCAATGACGAATTTGTGCATTTCCTTCCCTTTTCTCCTCTACCCCCCCTATGCATAAAATTACCCACTTCCAGCTCCGCATATATTACCCTACCAATGAGCTGTCGACAAACCCGGAAATTCCCATCCACCAGCCAACCGCCACCATAAGGGGAAATGCTAGATTGAACATTTTTCTCGATCGTGATTTTCCTCCCTTCTTTTTTAATTTTCCCCCCCCTAATTTTTTTTTTGTACTGGTGTGATACTATATGTTTTTTCCTCCCGGGAACGCACAGCAAATGTACTGTACAGTACTCGTACAGCGGTATGATTGATGCTCGAGTGAGTAAGTTAGCCTCCGAGCGGAAACCTCGAGCTCAGTTCGTTGATTTCGATACCGTCCGGAGAGCTTAGTGGCATGATTGAGGGATCAATGAATGAGTGAAGGAGAAGGTAGGCGATAGAAGGAAGGGGAAAAAAATCACTTTTTGCACGAATTCCCCAGTAGCAAAAACAGCTCGATCGCGGAGGGAAAAAGGAAGGGCGCAAGTTGGTAGTATTTCTAGATGGTAGGATGAAGATGGAAAGAGTTTTGATGGGTCAAGAAAAAAAAAATCAAATTCTCTTCATCACGGATGTCAGGGTGGTGGCGGCGGCGGTGGTGGTGGGAAGGGAAAGGTTTTTTTTTTTCCCTTCCCCCTCTTGCTCCCCTTCTTCCAGTTCACGAGCAAATCTCTTTCCTTAACCGCGATTCAACCGCCTGCCCCCTGATCGTCAGGTCGCCCGAGTGATATTCTGTGATGGGCGCCGTGCGTATGCCTTGAGCCAACCCCATATGTAGTGAGTCAGCGAGTGAGTGGGACAGGAATCTCTGGAGGGAAACACAGGACGCGGTGTACTGCGCACAGGTGTCGATACTGGAAGAGGGGGAGGCGAAGGAGGGGGTGAGGGAGGGGATGAAGAAGAGAGACTTTCCACCACTTTTTCTCCTTCGTGGGGTATTTTAGGGCTAGTTGATTGATCGCGGATATCATCAGGTTACAATGCTATATTATTATAGTGGAGGCGAGCTATAATTTAGGGGAATATTAGATGGTGATGGTGATTATAGGGAAGAGGAGGAGCCGTTGACGATGTTATATGAACTTTTAGATCCATCCAGGAACTATGATCTTGCTCGCCGCCGCCGCAGCTTGCGGTCCTGATGGGGTACATACATGTAACTGTAAGTAGATAGATAGGCAGTAGGTACCGCAGCTGCGATAGCTGCCAGCTAGCTAGCTAGCTACTGCACCAGCAGAACTTGACTAAAAAAACAATAACAACCCCACCTTGAGCTTTCCTCCCCCCCCCACCTCCTCCCCCTTTTCCACCTCTCATCTCCCATTCTCCTTATGATTAGCAATCCATTATGATACCGTAGATGAAGCACACCAGCCAAACAAGCAGACCCTCTACCGAAAAAACACGGCGCTAAGACTCCTCCTACCGTACTTTCCCCTGCTCACTCGGGCAAGCACGGGATATATCATACCCATTCAAAGCACATCATAGCTTCTGCCGCAGATGGAGAGGGGGGGAGGCTTAGAGTCAATGCTTCGAATCGAAACCAATCTCCAATTGACCATCGCGCTGCGCATGCAGGCCAAAAAAAAAAGATTCTGATAGAACAAAAAACATTAAAACAAGAGGTGAGATGTAAAACAGTCACGGTGATGTCCCCCCCTCCCATCTAATCAGAATAACAGAAAAAAATAAAAATATAGAAAGTAAAAGTCAAAAAGGGGCGGGGACCTAGTTTAGTTTCCAGCTACTCGGGTAAGTTTCATGAACGATCCGAATGGTTCCTCCCCCTCTCCCTCCGTCTGCAGGAGGGAAGCCAGGGGCTATCGTATCGGGGTCCTAACTTTGCGATTCAATAGTGAATTAATGGGCTATACATACAAGGTCATATGACGCGTATTTTTTTTTCTTTCGTGAAACCAGAGACAGAGATGGAGAGGGGAAGGGAGGAAACAATTGCACTGGATGGTATGATATCTATCCTATCTAGGGCAGTTACGGTGGCCTATCTGGACAGCTGTTCATGCCGACGGCAATGGGAGGGTGAGAAGAAGAAGGAGAAGAAGAAGAGGGGAGAGATGATGGACATCTCAGCTTATGCTACACAAGAAACAAAACAATGGAGAGAAATGAAACAAAAAGCACTATTTTATTTTTTCTTCCCCCGCTCGTGATGTCCCAGAAGTCAAAGAGTGAGCGAGTGGCGGCCTGGATAGAGAATTTCCCATCTACCGTTACCGTATCGCATCATACCGATCCCTACCCGTTCGTGGCTTTTCTCCCCCCTCGTTCGTGAGGAGGGAGAAGAAGGGGAAATGCCCCTCCTGTCATATCGTACAGGGGAAAATGAATCTGCGATACAGTTCAATTCAATTCAGTCAAATTCGGTTCAACTCAATTGATTACCGATATCATAACTAAGGTATCATAGAAGTAAACGAAAAAGAAAAGTAAAAGCATTTGCAGAATGAGGGGAAGGGGATGGGGTAAACAAAAAACAAAAACAGAAAAGAGGAAAAAGAAAAAGAAAAAGTAGAATCTGCAGTTAGACTACCGTACTCGAGTAGGAGAAAGGAGAAAGAAGAAAAGAAAAAGTGGATATATTTATCACTCCGGTAACTAACCCGAAATCGGGGAAGCGGAGAGATTATGATTTCCAAAAAAGGCATTATTTACTCGTTTATTACCAATAATAACGATATTAAAAAGGTCGAGTTGTTGATTAATAGCGTTGAGGAGGTGACCGATGAGTTAACATATTATATCTTAGCTTCATGCAGGCATGCTTACCCTACCTATGATAGCTTTCGTTAGCTACCGCACTTTACACCTTCCTTCTCCCACGACGCCCCCCTACTTCACACCGGGTGCACGAGTAGAATTGCATTCTATCCACCTCATGACATCTGAATCAACGAAGCCGGTGTGGAGAACTCCCCTCCCTTCCCCGTGATCCCATTAACCCCCCCCCCCCCGCCCAAGCTTAATTACCTCAGGTAGGTAACGTGAGGCGGTCGGGGCCGGTGAATCTACCAGTGTACAGAACAGCTACCGTGGAGGACTGCACTCCCCCGAGGCCTTAGCGCAAGGCCTATCATACCTGCCTTGTAGAGAATGAATGAGCGAAAAGTGAAAGGGCAGTGGGGCGAGACAGGGTTGGTCACTTGGCGGTGAGAGGGAGGAAGGGAGGGAAGGGCGGAGAAGGGAATCAGGCATTTTTTTCGGGAGTGAGAGTCGTGCGGTGGAAATATATTATTGTATGACGCTGTGGATGATCGTGATGTGCAGGTGGAGAGGGAAGGAAGGCTTATGATACGACGAGGAGAGGGAGAGCGCGGGAAGGAAAGGGTCTGATGGCCACAGGGGCGTACTGGTCGAGCCGTGCCCGCTGGTCAAGTTCGGGGCATTTGAGGATTTATGATAAGCGCCGCTTAATCCCTAACTGGGGGTGGGGTAGCGGTATTTCTTGGCGCACAGCTGTATGGCAGTTGGAGGCGAGCGAGACTACGG